TCTATCGATTTGTGACTAAGTCACTCATTACACGGTCTTCAAGTCAAAGTAAAACTAGAAGCCTACAAAATGGGGTCTACGTGTCTTATGTATCATTTTTCAAAACTTTAACTGCATCTACCTTTAATGATGCTGACACTTTGAAGCTCGATTTTGAGTGTTTTTTGAATTTTACTACTAGCTTTAATACGCGAACAGGAATTTCTAAAACTCGATTATAAGATTGTAGTCGCGAATCTGAGTAGTTCGTGTTTCGCTAAAGGGTTTGGCGGTATTCAGATCTATTGTAGGTAGTGCAGTGGCACTCCTGGCAAGTTCATTTGCCATCTCGTTTCCTATGATTCCTTGGTGACCCGTACCCATATAATTCGTACAGGTCCTTGTTGTGAGAAATCATTAATGATATTTATACATTCCAGTACAGTTATGGATTTAACTGTTTTGGAAGACATTTCCTTTATAGCTTGTTTGCTGTCCGTAATAGTATTTATTGTATTTTGTCCTTGATTTGAATTTAACCAGTTAAGACACATTGTTATAGCTTGAACTTTTGCCTGTAAGACCGAGCTGTGATCTGTAAGGCGAAGAGAAATTTCGGTACCCGGCTCTTCTATAATCGTATGCGATTTTTAGCACCGTTTCAGTGCATAGTATGTTAATTTGTTCCATTAATTTGTTCACGTTTCTGTCAATGTCATTCATGTCTAGGCATTCATAATTTGGTTGCCCTACTTGTTTTGGGTTTGTTCGAAAGTATATGTGTTTCGGCGGTGGCCGTTGTATTTTTAACATAATATATTTGTGGTCCGAAAAGGAGTACTCTTCTGAGACTCTCCAGTCCTGGACCTCATCTATTAAGTTTGCTGAACATATTGTTATATCTAATACCTCCTCTCTAATTCTGTTTACAAAGGTAGGTTTATTGCCTATGTTAAGGGTTATTAGATCGTTAGTATTCAAATAATAAGGGCCTGGTTCCTTTTGATAGTATTTGTACTATCTAACGCAATATGATGTGAGTTAGCATCACTACCAATTAGTGCATCGTTACCTGTTTCCTGTGCTTTCTTCACCAGTCGCTGCAGCTTCGCCGTTGGTAGTGATCGGCGAGTCGAACGGTAGTTATAACGAAGCCAGGTAAATGTTACCACTCCCTGCTTTGGTATAGTGGCGTCCGATGTTGACAACTCTGGGGAGAAGAGAAAGCATAAATTTTTGATTAAAAGAGTTGGTAATTTATATGGCTTAAACCAGTGACCTTGTTTTTAATTGTCTAAATTTCCTGGATCAGTCGGATGTGTATTTTACCTTTTATTATTTTTTTTTCCATCAGGGCCAGGGTTGCCGTCTCGCTCCGATGGAGGTTAATCTGGATGACTTCTATCAATTGTCCTCCAGTAACCGAGTTTTTTTTGGTATAGTGGCGTCCGATGTTGACAACTCTGGGGAGAAGAGAAAGCATAATTTTTTGGTTACATATTATAAAGGTTCTCGGACGAGAATCCGTATTTGCATAAAAGAGTTGGTAATTTATATGGCTTAAACCAGTGACCTTGTTTTTAATTGTCTAAATTTCCTGGATCAGTCGGATGTGTATTTTACCTTTTATTATTTTTTCCATCAGGGCCAGGGTTGCCGTCTCGGTCCGATGAAGGTTAATCTGGATGACTTCTATCAATTGTCCTCCAGTAACCGGGTTTTTTTGGTATAGTGGCGTCCGATGTTGACAACTCTGGGGAGAAGAGAACGCATAATTTTTTGGTTACATATTATAAAGGTTCTCGGACGAGAACCCGTATTTGCATAAAAGAGTTGGTAATTTATATGGCGTAAACCAGTGACCTTGTTTTTAATTGTCTAAGTTTCCTGGATCAGTCCGATGTGTATTTTACCTTTTATTATTTTTTCCATAAGGGCCAGGGTGACTTCTATCAATTGTCCTGCAGTAACCGATTTTCTTGGGAGTCTGTTATATTCTCCTCGGCTCCCTCCTCTTTGTTGCTGGGTACTTCCCCCTCGCTGTTGTCATTGGCTTCTTCGTCTACAATCCTTGCCTTGCCGAATTTGAAGTAAACGGCATTGGACACGTAGTGCGCCAGCTTACCCTTGGTCTTAGCCAGACTTGCCACTGAAGACCTGTCAAAGCCTAACACAAGGAGAGTCCCTTCCTCTTTCTCCTTCCTGTGGAAGACCTCCCATTTCTTAACGTGCGGTGTCTTGTTTTGTAAGCTGAAGACCTCGAGCCTTTTGTAGTTGAGGAATGGATTTTTTCCTTACCAGCTTGGGATTCATTGTTCCATCTATGGGTCCAATGCTTGCCACTATCTTCCGCAGGGCTTCTATGCTATTTGGAGTTTCTAATTCCAGCATTAGATAGTCCGCTTTGAAAGCGCAGCTATCCAGTTCAATAATCTTGCTGTTGACCGCATTTAACATTTCCTTATGGGTCTCCTTCTTTAGCTTACCGTCTTCCTGATATCAGAGCCAGCTTCGTCTGCCCTCGTCAATGGATTCTCACGTTGGTTTGATAACTTCCTCTTGAATATCGGTCAACGGAAGCTCTTTGGTTCTGGCAGACAACTGAAAAGCAAGCCTGCTCGTCCGGAGATCTTATCCTCTTCACGCTTCCGCATGACGCTGATACTAACCGTGCTGTTATATGGATCTGAAGCATGGGTACATACGCAAGCAGATGAGGCGGCTCTTCTCTTGAGAGAAAAATTATCCAAAAGATCTATGGGCCGGTCTGCGTTGACGGTGAATATCGCCGTCGAATGAACCATGAGTTGTACCAGCTATTCTCTCTTCGACATTGTTAGACGTATTGAGCTGCAGCGACTACGTTGGCTAGGTCATGTTGTGAGAATGGATGAAGATGCCCCAGCCCAAAAGGCATACAAAGGCGAACCAGCTGATGGTTCACGCAGAAGGGGAAAGCCACGAATACGAGGAAAGATCAAGACGAAGAAAACATTGCCGAAAATGGTATTTCAAATTGGAAAAACTCGCAAATTTCGACGCGCCTGGAAGTTTTTAGCGATTATTATAATATATTTATATTTTACGGCCACAAGCCAGCTATATATTGAAGAAGCATTTACAAGTCATTGTAATAATAGCCTTATTAACTTTACCAATAAAATAATGTAGATCCGATCCAACTTAATATCGTTGGATATATTATCTGTATTATATGACAATTTTTAGGACATGTAAGTAGATAGTCGGTATTAAGTAGCAATTGTGACTACTATGATACTATTTATGTGAATGCAATTGGGAGAGCAACGGACATACATTGGAACTAAATTCACACATATACACACACATGATTGCTATATATACACACATAACAGTTTTTCATTTCTTAATTATTTCACATAAATTCTAGTGATTTCCTGTTTTTCTCTGCTAACGCATTCCATTCCTGTACACCACCATCAACCACATTCCTATGTACATATGACCATTATAAGACCAAAAATCTTACCACGAATCTGTGTCTGTTTACTGTCGATGTACATACCGATATATGTAACATATGAAGGTATATAATACATATTTACACACATATTCATGTATATAAAGAAGAGTCCTATCAATATGGCGTCCATTCAACGCCAGTCTTTTTCGCTTATATTTTCCGTGTTTACCCAACGGCATATAAAGGAGGACAGAAAAGATGACAAGGAACAGCAAATGAATGGAGGAGTATAGAAGAAGCTGAACTAAAATTTTGAAAAGATTTACAATATTTACTTTAAAATGTATTGAAGCAGCATTCAAACGTGTTATTCAAAAGCAAGCCCAAATTACTGTGTTAAAAAGAAATAGCAATATCTTCACACACACACACACACACTGAAAAAATATCACAACACAGAAAGTCTTTTCAATAAAGACGGCAAAAATGATGGACGCCGTATTCAAAATTGACTACTTATGAAAACTTATATATTTGTATGTGTGTGAGTATTTTTATAAAAACGAATGGACCCACAATCCCGGAATCAAAATGCTACTTGATGTAATGTAGATTTTTTCCATCTGAAAAGACTGTCACGGCATTATTTTATGACCATACAAAAGCAACATTATTATCAACCCAAACCCATTTATGATAACCTGTAAAAAAAACATAAAAATGTGAAGGTGTGTAATATGTACACATTGAGGTTTCATATTATGAATTTCTATGAAGAGGGATATTTGAATTTTCATATTTATAGTTAAGACGGCATTTTTATACCCTTCACCACACTATGGTACAGGGTATTATGTATTTGTGCATATGCTTGTAACAGGCAAAAGGAAACGAGATAGACACATAGTTCCTTTTGAGAATATGCATAGAATCACTTTTTGAGTCCGTCCATGTATTTTTGTGAACAAAGTACAGGTCGCATTTATGAATCAATTTGGATGAAATTTGGCATAGGTCACTTATTTGGCCCAAGGACGAACCCTATTCGATTCAAATTTAGGTATAGCTCCCATATATAGTTTCGTCCGATTTTATTGTACAGCGCACTGAATCAGGTCCATGTTTATAGGTATGTAAGGAGTATGATAATAAAAAATCTGGAAGGTAAAAATGATAAGCAGATGTCAATGAAGGTCCCATGGGAAATCGAGTATGACCTCTGGAAGGCCTATACATCTTGTGAGAATTCAATTGAAGTGTCGGTTCGATCAGCGAAGTCATTTGAGAGGTAGAGGCCGCTACTTGTCCTTGGAGGTCGGTATAAACTCGGTTAAAACAGGAAATAATATGGAATAATACCGCGTGGTCGATAAACGCTTATTGAGATGTATAATATGACATGTAGAGGTCGCTACTGCTGTTTGGAGGACGGTAAGAATTCTGTTTTAGTCTGGGAGGATGTGTAAGACTACAGTGACATCGATAAATGGTTAAGACTTCTGAAATGCTTGGAGAATCTTGCGAGAATTTATATAGACCTCAAATTAGATTGATTGAACAAATTAGATAGTATGATATGACATGTAGAGGACGCTACAGATGTTTGAAGAACCGTGACATCTATGTTGAAGTCTGTGAGGATGTAAGGGACGACAGTGAGGTCGATAAATCCTTCTGAAAATATATTTACTTGGAGGAAATCTTTAATACTTCTTTCAGGCGAAAAAGGCTTCGGAGATGTCGGTAGTCACTAAAGACTATCAAAAGTACAATAAGTATAGCATCTGGAAGGTTTTTAAAAAATTCGAAAATTAGATTTACTTAGAGGAAATTTTAATACTTCTTTCGCAAAAAACCCCATCTGTGAGAGAGGACATTAAAAACTCTTGAAGAATTTATTATTGGCCTTAGAAATAATACAATTGTTATGTAGAGGTCGTTAAAGGCTTCAGATATGTCAGTAAACTGTTGTGAGAGAATAAAGAGGTCGCTAAAGACTATTAAAGGCTAGTAACAGTAGGCTTAACATCTGGAAGGATATTGGAGACGGCAGAAAGTACGTCAATATCTCTATAAAGTCATCAAAGTCTTTCGAGAGGCCACATTTCGATTTTATGTGAATGATGCACCAAACTGCCAATATTTCTCCGATTGGGACAAAATTTTGCACAAAGTACATAATTAGGTCCAGACTGATGTCTGCGAAGTTTTGTTTAAATTGGATATTGGAGATTTAGATATAGCTCATATATAAAGTTTCGAGAGGCTGCCGATTTTTGGTGAATGATGCACCAAACTCCCAATATTTGGCACAAAATTTTGCATAAAGTTCTGAATTAGGTCCAGACTGATGTCTGCGAAGTTTTTTTTTTTAATCGGTTCAGATTTAGATATAGCTCCCGTATATAGTTTCGTCCGATTTTATGTGAATGATGCACCAAACTCCCAATATTTGTCCGATTGGGACAAAATTTTGCACAGTGTGCTGGATTAGGTCCAGACTGATGTCTGTGAAGTTTTGTTAAAATCGATTCAGATTTATATATAGCTCCCATATATAGTTTTGTCCGATTTTATGTAAATGGTGCACCAAAGTCCCTATATATCTCTCGATTTGCACGAAATTTGGCATAGAGTACTGAATTAAGCCTAGAATGATGTGTATTAAGTTTCGTGAAAATCGGTTCAGATTTATATATAGCTCCCATATATATATATATTTTCGTCCGATTTAATGTAAATGGTGTACCAAAGTCCCTAAATATCTTTCGATTTGCACGAAATTTGGCACAGCGTAATGAATTAGGCCTAGAATGATGTGTGTTATGTTTCCTGAAAATCGCTTCTGATTTAGATATAGCTCCCATATATATTTTCGTCCGATTTAATGTAAATGGTGTACCAAAGTCCCCATATATCTTTCGATTTGCACGAAATTTGGCACAGTGTAATGAATTAGGTCTTGAATTATGTGTGTTATGTTTCCTGAAGATCGGTTCAAATTTAGATATAGCTCCTATATATATTTTCGTCCGATTTAATGTAAATGGTGTACCAATGTCCCATAATATCTTTCGATTTGCACGACATTTGATATAGGGCATTGAATTAGAAATTGTGTGCACGGCGTAATGATATAGCTCGCATATATAGTTTCGTCCGATTTTATGTAAATGGTGCATAAAAGTCCCTATAAATCCTTATACTTGCACGAAATTTGGCACAGCTTAATGAATTAGGTCTAGAATGATGTGTGTTAAGTTTCGTGAAAATCGGTTCAGATTTAGATATAGCTTCTATATATATTTTTTAATATCGGTTGCAGAATGACATGTTTATGGATCCATTTCATTTTACTGGTCTTTTAAAAATGCTCATTTATTATATCTGGTGATGTCATATTAGGTCTAGAATGGTTTATATTAAAATAGTTATCTGATTTGTTCAGCGTTTTGAGTTTAGTTCTAAGACTCTGTTGTAATCATTTCACCTGCGGAGGATAGCGAGATAAAAAATTCGAACGTAAGGTTCGATAATGAACTATAGCCGCATTTAGACCTAGCCACTGTGTGGAAGTTCCAGAAGGAGTGAACCGATATACCCCATCATGGAATTTGAACTAAGTTTGAAAGAAATAATAAGATGGACAAAGTTTGAATGAAATCTAAATTTTTTTAAACGGATTTGGTCCAAAGAAACATGGGTCCTAAGACCAATATTTCGATGAGGCACATTTTCACCGTTTTAAAATGTTTACACCCTCATTTACCATAAGGCTGATGGTATATTTATCCATTAAGAAATTCTGACATTTGTATTATGGTGTACATAATCCGTTTTTAGAAATGTCGGTATTGGTCCACTTTTTGGTATGTTCCCTATATTTTCATTTCCAGTACCTGTTATTCCCTACTTGTTATTTCCTAAAGTGGCATATTTATCATGTAAAAGCTATACTGAGTTTTGATCTAAAAATTTTGTTCAAATCTGAAATTTTTGATATCAATATTTTCATGAAACTTTCAGAATTTTGGTACTTCAGGCTCCCAAATAATTAAAAAGTTTTAAATCCCATTGTCCTATCGATTTGGGCTTTAAAGAAATTTTGGCGTAACAAAATTTGTGGACAAGTTGTCGATCTCCTATATTCGATATTCAAGCTATATTCGGTGTTATAGAAAACACAATTCACTCAATCATATAATATTTTCATTTTGATTTTAAACATTTTAATCGCGTATCATAACCCCAAATTGTATGTAGGGTATTGCATTGCATATCAACACATAAATATTGAAGAATATCCATTGACAGTCTGAAAAGTAAGCAAGCAATGATCCAAAACGTTTACGCTAACAACATGCCTTTAGAAGACAACTCTAAAGTCAACAGAAACAGAATATAGCTTGAATGAAAAAAAAGTAAAATATGAAAAAAACATATTATTTCTATGTGTGACTATGTGAATCAGCGTTACAAAAAAAATCAAGCTTTAGAAAACCGAAACCCCTGCTGTTGAGCTAAAAGGATACGGATGTGTCAAAGAAGGCTATTTAAGATAGTGTAACTAATATTGGGACTACAGTTGAAGCGCATCTCTTGAAACGTTAACTCAAGTGGCATGAAAACGTAAGAGCTAAAATATTTTTTCAAGCATCCAACGAATATATTAAAAATCGAGTGAAATATATGTGTTATATATTAACATATATACAAAAATAACAAACATGAAATAAGGAAATTGTTAAAAGTCATTGAGCAAATCCCAATGAGTGTATATTGGAAACGTTTCGTTTGAAAAGGAAATGCAAAGGAAAACATTTGTATTCATAACAACAAACAAAATTCTTACTGTGATATAAAGTGTGTGTGTGTGTGTTTGTGTGGGTGTGTTTGGATATGAGGGTTCTAATGAAATTATGATATACGATCATAGATTTTTGTATGACAAAACATTATAAATCATTTTCAATTTTCCGGTTCTCTAACTCTGCACGTTCATCCATCCGTCCGCCCAAACCAAATCCTTGATAGCAAATATAAAAACCTGCAACACAAAAATCGGCATCCTGCTTTGCTTTCAAACATAAACTGAAAACCAAACAAACAAAAAATAACTCAAGCTCAACATTGTCAAAACAAAACTTTCATAATTTGTCAAAAAAACGAAGAAAAAGAATGAAACTTGTGTTACTGTTGTAAACGATGTGGAAATTGAATAAACAACCCCACAATAACAACTGCGGAAAAAATATGAAAAGCAAATCTAAACTTCTAAATAAAAAAAATACAAATAAATCTAATTCATAATCTAATAAGGAAGTAGACTTGTTTGATTAGCTTGTTAATAATGTCCATAAAAGTCATTACGAAGAGAAAGAAATGTATTTGTAATTTAATGGGAATGTTACTTAATTTTTAGTATTTTGAATTTCGAATCATATTATATTAATAACTAATTTAAAACAAACCAGTAAGGAAAGTAGTAAAGTCGGACGGGACCGACTATATGATACCCTTCACCACCTGGAGTCAATGTTCCCTCGAAGGAACATATTCATGTCCTTCTGGAACCTATTCATATTCATATTCGGGCATATTTATACTCGTCTGCGTACCATGGGACAAATTTGTGAAACCGATTTTTAGCAAAATTGATACAGGCTATTCGGTACGCCGCACTGTTAAATAATAATTTAATAAATTTAATTTCAATCAGGCACCCGTTCGAAATACATATGGAAGCTATGGCTGCATCTGCACCAATTTCAACATAACGCAATATCGTCATTCAAGTCTCTATTGAATGCGTTGTGCAAAATTTCGTGTTAATCGGACAAACATTAGGAGTTTGGTGTACCATTTATGTAAAATCGAACGAATACATATGCATATGTGTGAGCTATATTGAAATCTGAACCGATATTCCCGAAACTTGACACACATCACACTAGACTTCATTCAGTACGCTATGCCAAATTTCGTGCAAATCCAAATATATAGGGACTTTGATAAACCTTTTACATAAAATCGGACGAAAATATATATCGGAGCCGATTTTCCCGAAACTTAACACACATCACTCTAAACTTAATTTAGTGCGCTATGCCAAATTTCGGGCAAATCGAAATATATATATATAGGGACTTTGGTGCACCAATTACCTAAAATCGGACGAAAATATATGTGGTAGTTATATCTAAATTCGAACCGATTTTTACGAAATTTAAAAATATATAAAGAGGACAATTATATATTACGTTAGAAAATCCATTATTTTTATATGAACTATAGGACTTTATTTAACATGCTTCGGAACGCCCGATTTGGGTCAAATATGCACCGTTTTGTTGTATGATTTGTTGCCATTTTTAAGGTAACTTCACAATGCCACTCTCTCTCTCACTCTCTCTTTGCAAAAAAAAAAATCTAGTAGTCAATTTTCGCAATCCTCCCTAGGTACCAATTTTGTATTATTAAAGAAATTTTGTAATGCAAGAAAAATATGGTAATCGTTTGGTGCCAAGTCTTGACTGTATAGCGGATGCATCAAAACTTCCCAACCAAGCTCCCGAAGTTTCTAGTGAGTCTGTGTAGATGTGGCTAAGCGTTGTCCTGGTGGAACACGACAACTCTCCTGTT